AAATATAACATTATATTTGCATGTATATAGAATACCCAGTTTGCCTGTTAGACTATAAATTATCAATGGATTAATTAGTACCTTTGTATCAAAGGCATGGTCTGAGGTCATATGAAAGTCTCAAGATAGAAATGAACTTTCTCAAAGTACTTGTGATACTTCTAAATGATAAAAATCTGAATCCAGAGTAATACTTAAAATTTTTAAAGAAACAAGGTTAAATTGTATTTTAAACCAAAAATACAATAAGATCTTTGATATTTCTGAAGGGTATTTGCCTGGTCCTTTACAACTGCTGACCTACAAGCAGGGTGTGTTGTCTGCACACATAGTTGTCTCCACCTCATCCTGGAGATGTGGGTGGGGCCTCAGAGAGTACCAGGGCAAAGACACTCCAGCCTGAGTGTGACTCAGTCACACTCACTCAGTCACACTCACTCAGTCACACTCAGGAGAATGACTTTTTTGGCACTTAGAAAAAGAAACTGCTCTAAATCTTAGACATTTATACTAATGTACTTTAAAATTTTGTATGTTTATATGGTGGGTGGGAGAAAAGATTTGGGAAATTTTGTAAAGGAAAGTAGAAATCAAGTGCTAGTGGTTTAAAAACAGATTTCCCATTATCTCCTGAATTTTTTAGAAAATACACTATCCAGAACAGAGATTTTCTCATGAATTGATGAATCTAAAAAGAAGAGTAATGGATAAGCTTCAAGAGTACCAACAATTACCTGAACGAGTATGAAAACATTTTGTTGCATACATGAATCTTTCCAGAGAGAAGGTTTATAGCTTTCACAGGAGATGAGACTACAGTAAACACAGCAACAAGGCTTTATCTTAAGCATCAAAGGAAATTTTTAAATAATGATTTCAGAGAACACTGCATTGTAGTCTCACAGGGAAGGATGACAAGGAATATCTATCAAGAATGTGTTAGGTAAGGGAAATGTTTGCTCTCCTTATCTTAAAGTGAGGTTTTACGCAGCACTTATCAAGGTTCTTACAGGGATTATTTAAGGCATATTACCTAGGATCTAAGGACAGTGTCTTATAAAAGTAATATTCCAGTTTAGCCTGTAAATGAATTTTAAGTTTGTCTTAAAAATATTTGCACATGGATTCAGGTTTTTACACAGTTTTCATTTGTTGATATTTTTTGCATATTGGAACCAGTTGTACTCCTTAAGCAGTATTTAAGGCATGTACAAATGTAGCATCAAATTAAGAAATATTCCATGGGAGCAAATTCAGTTGTTAAATGCATGAACACAGCTCTTGATTAGTTTAATGTAACTGTGAGGATGCATTAAAGAACAGAATTTGCCCCTTTGTGTCCATGACTAAGAGAAACACCGCGGATAAAATATAAAACTAAAACTAGCAATAGGAGGATTCATATTTGAAATAAAGTGATCTCCACACTTAGTACTGGCCAAATCACTGTCTGCTAATCATTCAGGGACCTGGGAAGTCCTTTGGAGACCTGGGAAACATAAGCAAATTCTCATCTCTAGTCAGTGCTCCTTCTTCCTTAATGCCGTAGAGGAGCTCAGATCTCAAAAAGGAGAGGCCTCTACCTCCACCCTCTCCTCTTAAGGGAAAGGGGAATTCAGAAGAGGACCAATGGAGACACAGCTTATTTTTAACTAAGGTTAGATTACATCTATTACTAATAAAGATTCTTGCCAGTGGCGGAGCACTCTGGAGATGCCAGTTTCCATTTAGATTGGAAGGGTGAGCACACTGGTGAGGATCTGGGGCAGCGGAGGCAAACCATCCATGTGAGATGTCAGCCAACCCACAGACACTCACTCATCACAAATCAGAGGCAAGACACCGGATTCGGTGCTGGGGACACAAAGCAGATGTAGACACTGACTTCAAAGCTTTCATAATCAGTAGGAACCCTAAAGGTGTATCCAGTAGGCAGCCACCATGTGAACTGCTGCCAGAGTTCAGTGGAATGGGACCTCAGAGCACACAGGTGCCCACCTGTCCTGCCCATTTGTCACTGGCTTCATTCCTTCCAGCCTGTGCTGAGGCCATGGGGGACTCCTCCTCCATTAAGGAGTTTGCAAAGTGGTCTCTGTTTAGCTGCCTAAGAAACCAGAGAGCATCCTCTCCTGCACCTTGTAAGGGAAATTGAATTCATATTTTTAGGCATTACAAGTATCTTATATAATTTGACTATTTATTTAACATAAGCACTCTTGAGTTCATCTTCATGGCGGAACATTTTAATGATTCATTGTCTTAATGAAGTGTCATGTTAATTTTATTTCCAGCACAGCCAGGCGTTGACTTGCTGCTCCAACAATAAATAAGCCTCTCCTAAGGATCAGTCAAATGGAAGAAAAAGTTTTATATATATAAAATTATATTTCTCTATATAATATTCTGTCTATATAATATTTAGTATGCATATGTATTGGCATGGTGGGAAGTGCATGCTAGTTAAAATGTATTTTATGCTTTTGGAAATGTCATATATCTTATCTAGTTAAATGCTATCAATTTGAAGAAGGCAAGGGAAAATCAGAGAAGAGTCAAAGACTTGTGGATATCTTGAAATAAAAATGTTTCCCCTACTAATTAGAAATTATTAATTAAAGTCTAGCAGTAATTCCTAGCTAGAAAAACAGGATGATTAATTACAGTTTTCAGTATGAATCTTATGTAATATTTTAAAAATAGTTCTTGAATCTATAACAATTTGTTACTAGACTAGTAACCGAAGGAATTCTACATGTCTCAAACCTTTTAGAGGATCTTGCAAGGAGGAAATTGCCGCTTGCGCATCTAGAGGTAACTGACAGCCACTTCCCTTTCACTCTAGGACACTTGGGGAACACTAGGGGTTGGGGGGCTGATATCTCTTCTAACCTCATGTATTCATTTCCTTCTTCCTCCCCTTGTCTTTCTTACACTGACAACTTTTCTGGATCCAGCCTTTTTTGGAGGAATGCAGGCAAAACCAGTTTTCAGAGATTATCAAGTATGTTTTCCATCCACCACGACCTTTAGGAGTTACATGTGCATTGAACAGTTAAAATGAACAGAGTCAACAGTGTGCAAATAATGCACTGCAATTTGGTTTGGCTGTCTCTGACCTCCGTCTGCCCCATTTCATTATTTAGCTTCTCCTGTACACAAAATGTAGCCAACCATTCATGCATGCGCATGGAAAGAAATAGGTTTGCAGCATGTTTGACAGCTCAGGGAAAGTGATGAAGCAATGTTGTCAAACAGCTACACAAAAGGCTTCAGAAGCTCGAAGGGAGTCTTCAATGAGTGATAACATCACTGTAAATTATCAAATCAAAACATCTTCAGTGTGAAATCATTCAAGTTCTACAATTCAATTACTTATAAGCCTAAGGATTTATTTAAAAATTAAACAGCCAGACCAACTGGAAAGAGTGCTGCTAACAAGATTTGTATATGCTTTCTACTATTTGTAGGCTCTGTGACATGGATCAAGTCACTGGGACTCTTTTTTTCCTGTTCTGTTAAATGTCACTGGTGTGACCTACCCACCTATCTTTCAGGTTTGCCATGAAGGTCAAACAGGTTGTGTGGGGAAATTTTTGTATACTTTAAAGTACAGTGCAAGTACTAGTCTTTCTAGCCAGACTTCTCTTCAGGGAACAAGGTCTCAATAAATGGTTAAGAAATGAATACAACTAGGTTCAGTGGCATAAGCCTGGGTGCAGTGGCACTCTGAGAGGCTGAGGCAGGAGGATTTCAGCTTGGGAAATTTAGCAAAATAGTGAGATTTATCTCCAAATTGAAAACAACAGTTAAAAAGGCTGGGATTGTAGCTCAGTGTGAAGGCCCTGGGTTCAACCCCCAGTATCAAAAAAGGAAAAAAGGTGTAATGAATGTATAGTATCTTAACACATTTGAAGTTCTGAAACCATTAAAAATCACAGTAGTCTCAATCATCATCATTCTGACTTAGAAAACCAATTTAACGTATTTTCAGGGAAAAATGAACAGGAGCAGCAAGTGGAATCAATATATTTTGGTTTCTCCAAACATCGTTGTTATAGATCATAGATCAGAAGGTCAATCTGACATGCAAACTTTGGATAGAAAGTGCCATTGTAACTTTGCAATGTTTCAACACAAATCGTGAAGTTTCTAGTTCCTGTACAATTTTTATTTCATTTTCTCATGGGTGAAAAAAAATCTAATTTGATCTACAAGTCAGCACATTTTCTTCTTAAAATTTAATTTTTAGAATATTTTATAGTTTTTTATTAGTACACATTTGTGATATGTATTAAGACATTCATCATGAGGGGTAATTAATACATTCACCATGAGGTACATACCTATCCCATCTTAGTCTTTTTTTACTTCCCTTTCCCCTTCACATTTTCAGCTGCATGTAAATTATTTTGCTTGGCTTTTTAGAAAATATGGCTTCTGGCCATTAGCAACTGGAAGCATCCCAAGCAAGGCAAGATATATACATTATTTAAAAAAGTGAAAAGTTAATTCAAACAAGTAGAGTGCAGGGATGATGGATACGAGGTCATCTGGAGAAGGAAAAGCAGCACAGATAGGGTTTGAGCTGAGGAGGAAGGAGCAGGGCTTGAAGAGGGTTGAACAAGGAGTCTGCTTCATGCTACTACTTCACGATGAATCTTCAAAAATATGTGCTAGGAGCATTGATACCTAGGAACAGGACAATTTCATGGTTCTGTGAACACTCCTGCTAACTGTCTTGCCCCTTGTTTTCACACTGGATAACTTTTTTAAAATTTTGGAATCAGTTCATAGAAATGTATGGCTTTGATTGAGTTTCAGTTGATCCAAGTTACTGGATTGGGATTTTAGAATCTTATCAATACTGGCATTTACTAGTATTACTGTAATACTGATAATATTGAGGCATTTCCAACTTTTAAAAAGTGTCAGTTTCATGTCTTCAGGGCTAACTTTACCAAGTTTTTCTCTGAACCTGAATTCATTGCTTAAAACTTCAGGGAGAAATCCGGAGTGAATGGAGGCAGCGCCCTCAGCAGCCCTTGCCCTTTGTTCTTCTGAGATTCTCTGGGAGCTCTGCTACCCTTTCAAAGGTATGATAGAACTCTAAATCATGGCAGTCCAGATGGGTGCTCATTACCTCTCTGGGAAAATAAATGCGAAATGGTTTGATTCTATTTCATGAATTCAACTTAAATTTGTGCAGATTCATTTCAATTCTGAGTTGTTGTATTGCAGTAAAAATCACTCTGGGTGTTTCACTGAAAATTCAGAGTAGGTACTCTTCTCTCCAGAAGTTCATAGCAACTGCCCACCACTCCTTTCTCCAAACTGTGCCCCACTGGCCTGGCAGGTTGCCAACTGCATCTCTCCACAGGGAATGCTGACTTTCCTCCTCCAAAAATCAGGACTCTCTTCTTTAGTAATTCTAGTAATCAGTTGTTCCTTATGTATGAAAGGACATGGCACAGAAACACCTTTTATTGCCAATTTTAGGTAAATCACTAAACTCAAGCACCAGGGACTCGTTCAGGTGGGGGAAGAGTGAGCAGGCAGTTAAGTCGAAAAGTACAAAAAGAACCTTAAGAGATTGAATCTGAAAGGGTCAGAGGCCCCAGGACAAATCAAATTCATGTTGAGGAGGATTGCTCCAGTTTTTCTTAGCTCCAAATCTCTCTCTCTCTCTCTCCTGTCTCATCTTTCTCTTGCTGCCTGCTCTGGTTCTTTGTAGATTTTTCATGTTTATTTTGTAATCTTTCTCTTCTTGCTTCTTCATGACTTGCTTCTCAGAGGCTCTTTTCCTGTAGTGTGAAAAAAAATCTCATTTGAATTTTAAATAATTATATTTTTAATTGACATTGTTGAGGTTACCTATGAAAGTTATCTTTAGTAAGAAGGAGGTTTGATCCTATCCTAGTTAATGATCTTGGTTCTCAGTGTCCTTATTTGTAGATGACACTACAAATAATTCACAGGGTTATTGGGAAGATGAAGCATCCTAATATATGTGAAACTGCTCTGTACGCTATAATGTGCTAAATAAAACTTACTTATCTGTCTAAGGAAGGCAGGTTTAGCAGTTGCCAATAGCTTTTGCTTGAAGGAAAAAGTCTGGCAGTTCCCTGGGGTTTTATTATTTACATGAGAGCAACATAAAGGGATTTGCTGGCAACACCTTTTAAATGGGACAGAACATGCTAGTTGAAATGGAACATTTCCCTGAGATGTCTCCCCAGGGCAGGCTGGTTCTGTTGTGGGAACGCATTGCCTACACAGGTTTCTCCTGTCACAGATGGCCAAGATACAGAAAGAGACTGAAGTTTATCTTCCATCAGTCTGGTTTCCTGAATACACTTGTTCAGTTCCCGTGTCCAAGCATTCTCCTTTGAAGTTAGGGGGCAAGTGGAGTTTGTGCTGCACAGATGTCCTGATTCTCTCTTCCTGGATTTAGACCTGTCTGCTAGTGACACAGTGTTCCTTTACCAGAGCTATGCTGGGCACACTGACAGCGCCAACAATGGGGGCACAAGGCCAGCCCTGGGAGCACTTGACCTACTTTGACTTGGCTTCAGTGACTGTGATTACCTGTTCTGCCAGTGGCACCTCAAGGAATATTAATGTTTCATTTTGTTTTGACTCTGTAGTTGAATCCCTTAACTTTCGTATTTTTTAATAGCTTTCTAAAACTAAGACATTTTCTTCCTAACTAAATCACGTGCTGTGTCTATGCAGTATTGTGTAGCTTGAGGTGTACAGAATATTAAATATTCTTGCCTGTACCTCGTGTGCTGTCACACACCCTTTATGTTCAGATACAAAGTGTTTCCAGGAGGTGACTTTTTGGGGCTATAAGGTTACTTATTTTTTAGGTACTGGGTCCACTCAGATGGCTTATTTACTATTGGCTGAGGTTGTTTTTTAGTAGTGCTTTTGAAATCTGACTCCCTGGATTTGAATCTCAGTCTTATTTCTTACTAAGAAAAACCGAGACACAGAATATAATGAATACAGCTCTGAAGTAGAGAGCTGGTGTCCTGACAGAAGGAAAGTTTAGCAATTTCTAGACCTTTCAAAATCTAAGTGGTCTTTTTTGTTGTTGTTTAATGTGGTGGGGGGGTGCTATCTATTTGGGATGCCTGAAAAATGTTATAACTGTATCCATTGCTTTCAAGTGTTTGGTGGACAGGAAGCTCATAATTTGAGGTGGATTTAGGAAGCAAATTCACTTAATAAACACAGATCAAGGGTGCTTTGTGCCTGCGCAGGCACTGTGACTCAGACGTGAGGAATATAAGATCCTTCTTGCTTGCCAAACTTCTTGCTTACCTTTGGGACACACCTTCTCCTGGAACCTTTCTGTGGCTTTGTCTGTCCTAACCTGCTGGGTGTTTTCAACTGTAAATGCAGCACTGTGAGGACAGCCTGGTGATTCCTACATTACATCTCTCCTTGCTCTTCAGACTGTAACCCACTATGTGATGTGATGCTGATATTCACATACAGTGTTTGCCAGTATTTCTTCCTTGATCTAGGGTGCAAAGGCCATGGGGAAACAGTGCGTTCACTTTTGCACACTACCTGTATGTGCTGTGAGTGCCATAATGAACTCTCAGTAAATGTTTTCCCAATGAAAGGATTCCTTCTTGTAGATCACAGCTTTCCAATGTGGGGTCAGGTGTTGTCACCTTTCAATATGTGCTTCGTGTACCCAGCTGCATTCTCTTTCTTAATGTGACCCTGTCATCCCAGGGCTTCTCTAGTGCATTCTGTGTTTGAAGCCACATGTGCATTGAGGTAGATGTTTATTCAGGAACTTTCCTTGACCTGAGGATCAGAGGCTTTGGCTTATACAATTCTATTATGAAGTGCTGTTTCCTTGGGAGGTGTTGTGGTCTACTTACATGATCATTTGCACTTAGAAATGAAGTCTCATTCTATCCATGTCCCATGTCAACCTAGAGCTGAATTGTGAGGTGCACATTTCCAGATGTCCCTTCCCGATGAGAATGCTGCCCTGGCAGTCCACACAAGGACAGTTCTGAGGACAAAAGTCGACTCTGATGAATTCCTTTGTATCTGTTAAGCAGCTGAGATGGTTTCACTTTGGTTGTGTTTTGTATTTCCATCACTTTCTTCTTTATGAATGGTTGTGAATAATTTTTGGTTGGGATTTCATGAACTGAAGTCTTTCATTCCTATTTTTATTCCCTCAAGTCTCCTTTGTTCATTACAAGACAATTTTGTGGAGGACAGGAAATGAGAAATGAGCATGTGGGAGGAAAGTAACAGTGAACCTCCTACACTAAAATTCTTATTTCCTCTGAACTTCATCCTGTGTTTGTTATAAAAATAGTTTTCAGACATCATTCCCTGTGGTGATGTTAATTACCGACATTTGTTAGTGTTCATCGTGTGGTAGTAACCACTAAATGTTTTACATGTATTATCTCAATTAATTGCCACAATAATCTGATGAGGCAGCTTATTATTGTCCCCATTTTAAGGATGGGACACTGCACAAGTTTGATGATCTAGTGACTTTCCAACGTTGCTTAGCTAGTTAAGTGTCTTGCTGGTTCTACATCTGTATTCCAACAAGTAAACTATGCCGGGACTTCTCTAGAGCCCACTGATATTCTCATGTATTTTAGGTGAAATATCGGTGTCAAATTAACTTTTGTGGTTCTCTTGAAGACAAGTATATGTTTTACGCCAAACCTTGTTAAAAAGACTGTTTTATAAAAGCTGCCCTACTTCCTATTAAGACAAATTCCTTAACAGCTAAAGCATTGACCATGAAGGGTCATTTTGTCTTTTTAAAAATTTATTTATTTATTTTTGTCTTTTGGAGACAAGGTCTCACTCTGCAGTTCAGGCTGGGTCTGAGCTCACTTTGTAGCCCAGGCTGGTCTCAAACTTGCTACTGTCCTCCTGTCTCAACCTCCCAAGTGCTGGGATTACAGTTCTGCACCACCACACCCAGTCGGTCTTTTTTATTTTTTCATTAATTTTTCTGTCAATTTTTGTCACCTCTACTAAAAAATTTAACTGAACAATGTAAGTAGAGCAATGCACTTAAAATGTAATTTTAAGGTTTCTTATCTATTCATATTTTCTAGAAGCAGCATTGGTTATGATGATCAAAGCACCAAGTATGACTTGGGGGCGGTGTTGTGCAAATAATCTTTACATGTGAATTTATTCAATGCATCACTTTAAAAAGTTAAATTGTAGTAATTTCAATTTACTTCTGTTTTAATGAATTTATTATGTACTTGCTCTGCACTAAATATTCTGCTTAGAACTCTGTGAATATTAAATAATCTATGTCATAGTCCAAGCTTCAAAGGAGCTGAAAGCCTTATTAGATAAGAATATTTATAGAGAAATTATAAGTTACAAACTTATAATTAAAAATGACAAAGCAATTAAACTGCAAAACTATCAGACAAAGATGTTTTATTTTTCAATATCTTCAATTTTCTTCTGAAAATGATTTGAAATATCTAGGATCCAGTATATTATTTTCACATCTCCTTTTATAGTTTTATTGAGCAAATATGTGTAGATGACTATAAATTCTTTGAAGAAATCCCAAGATTCTGTGGAGAAGAATTTTATAGCCATTTGATAGACAATAAAGATGAGTGCTCATTTAGAATATCAAACAAGTTGATGACTTCTGCTTCCAGGCAAGAATTTTTATCTTACTATCAATGCATATTAATTTTGCATATTAATGGAACTCACTATGGTACTCCCATACACGCATATATCATGCATTGATCATGTTCCTCTACCTTCTTCACCAGCCTGGGACGCTTCCCAGTCCCTAGTAATCAATCACTCTGCTATTTCAGGTCAACTTTAAAAAGAATTATTTTAATATCAGGAAGAAGTTTAGTATGTGATACTTATTCTTCTGTGTCTATGTATTTCACTTAATGTGATATTTTCCATTTCCATCTATTTTGCTGCAAATGACAGGATTTTATTCTCCTTGATACCTCAATAACACCCTTGTGTTAATATACACCATATTTCTTCACCCATTCATCTGCTGATAGGTACCTTTGCTGGTTCCACGTCTTAG